ACCGTTGCTTCCCATTTTTCAAAACGCAAGCCTAGAACAGCGATGTCCAAGCCTAGGACAGCGCTGTCTGGGTGAATTTCAACAGATCCAATTTTCATCAAATCCCACAAATTGTGCCAATCACCCCTTAAATACTTTGGTCCGTTGGAGCCTATTTTTCTACTATAAAATGGGGTGTTTGGGTCTGTTTTACACATTACATTACTTCACAACTCCTACTCTTTCATTGCAAATCATTCTTCAATTATTCATAGCTTTTGAGAGCCGTTTTTTTTAAGCTTGTGTTGTGTTCTTGAGCGTTCTTAGTTTACTCATTATCCACTCTAAAAGAGAGTATTGTTCTTGAGTGTTTTTAGTGTTCTTAAACACTTGACAAGAGAAGGTATTTCTCTTGTTGTTCGAAGGAAGGGCTGTTTCCTTCTAAGGTTCGTTGAGGTTCGTGTGACTCGAATTCTCAAGTTGTACGGGTTTGTTAAGCACCGTTAAGTTTAACGAGGTAGTAGTGTAGCTCGAGAGAGTCTCTCAGGAGGCTGGATTAGCCACAAGTTGTGGTGAACCAGGGTAAAATCGGTGTGTCTCTTACTCTTTTCTTTACTTCTCATTTATTCATTTTTTATTCCTGCGATTTTTGATCAAACGCTATTCACCCCCCCTCTAGCGTTAGTCTCTTATTCTAACAACGTTAAATCGGATTCGGATCTGAATCGGGTCTGAATAGATTTTGTTCAGTTTGGATCATTTCGGATGTTTGGTTCTATTTCAGTTCTTCTATTTTCGAGTTAATTCGAGTTCAGTTCGAGTTATCGGCTCCGGGTCAGTTTTGCCAGGTCTAAAAATAAAGTCCTAAAATGGTTTTTTCTAATGAAGTGTTTTCCAAAAAATAGTTCTTAATATGTAATAATCTTCATAATTGATAGTCTTCAATAAACAATTATAATATGGAGAATTTATTAATCTAAAATCCGTAAAATATTAATCAATGAAATTTAAATTAAGGACAAGGAAAATACATGCCCTCCATATATTGTATTGTATTCACTCTGTTTGAACTCTGATTATAAATTGAATATAAATTTATCATAGATTAAATAAAAATGATTATACGGTGCGTCATAATAACCACACATTTTGTGGGGGCTTACGGCGGGGTGGGGGTGGGGGTGCAGGGGCGGGGGTAGGGTGGGGGGTTTAGAAGGTGGGTTAGGGGGTAGGAACCATCAATTTTGCGAACGAAGCACCGGAGGTGCCCCAAAATACCAGTGGCACCGGAGTGGCACCGTACTCCGATGTCACTAGAACCCCACCAATGATTATATTAGACGTGCCTTGCAAAAAAACGTTCGGTAGCAGTACCGTATAACTATTGATTTTGAACACCTTGGTTCCCATGACATTGGTTCCCAATGTCATGAGAACCTTGCCCGATTTTGAATGTATATACAAACATTAAATTTTTTGAATGAGTGAATGCTAAATTATTGATTATTACTCTGCATCTTAAGAAATTGTATACGAGAAAATTTATGATTTTGAGAAATCAATTTGAGAGCATATTTTGATTGTTCATTGAAATACTAATTTTTTGAGTTTATTTTATTTAGGGTATGAGCTTTGAATACTGATAAATATAATCACAACTTAAGAGACGGGACTGTTGAGAACTTGTCGTGAGGTCCAAAACAAATTAATAATTTATAAATAACCTCAACTAACCCCCAAAATATAATCAAATAAAAAAGTATAGCTAGGGCAAGTAAGGGTCAATCCCATGAAGAAAAGTTTGTATTTTTGAAATAATTTAAGCATGCACATACATTGTCACAAAACAAAACAAACTAACTACTACACAAATGATAACAGTTATAAAACTTTTAAATAAATATAAAACTTATAAATATAACTTTTATAAACAAAGAACTTAGAATATAACTTAGAAACTCGTAACAAAAAGAAAAGATTTTTAAATTTCTTTTAAATTTTTTATAATTTTTTTTAAAATATAAAATTCTATGTTTGAAATAAAAATAAAAGTAAAAGAATTAACATTTACTCCATTTATCTCAAATTTAGCATTTTAACTTTTTGTTTTCCATCTAGAATAATGCTTTCGGTAAGTTCATAAGAAAATAAAAAAAATATGGAAAAACAAAATGAAAAAATTGAAACATCGAAAAAAGAATCTTATACAAAAAGAAATTTTCAGAACATCTAAAAAGTCCTTAGAATTGGGATATCCAACAAGGATATTCGTTTTTATTTTTTATTTTATTTCTTTTTTATTCCTCATTTTTTGAAGTTCTCAAAAAAAATGTGTTTCAGAAAAACAAAATTATTAATTAAAGACGTTATATGTCACTTTTTTTCAAACAAAAAAATATTAAATTTTAAGAACATAATAAAAATAATTTTAAAAAGAAAATTTAAAACCTTGATTAATAAAAGAAACAAATAAAGGGGAAAAACAAAAATTAAACAAAAAATAAGAAATGAGCATCATTGCCCCCTATGGTTTGGAAAATATGCACCAATGTCCCTTCTTCGGCGAAAAAATAGCCCAAATATTACCAGAAGGAGTATGAGTGCAACGTTTTGAAACTACAGAAACTTTATAAATATTTGAAAAAGGAAGGTATTGATGTCTATTTTCGAAAGCACAGGGTATTGGTGCTATTTGGCCCTAAACTATGTCGTTAATCTTTCAAGTAAATCTTTAAACTCTAAAAAAATTCGCAAATAGTCTTTCAATTAACGTTAGTGTTGCACCGTTAGTCATGTTAACTTTTCCGTTTATCCATGTACTTTGTTTTTCATTTTTATTATAAATAAATGCGAAATATCTAATAAAAATAAAAAAATTCAGTGTATTTGATAGTAAATTCTAGAGTTATTCGTATCCTATCCTATCCTATATATATATGTAAAAGAGAGTTACACACTTGTGGTGATGACACGTGTCATGCCACACGTGCATACTGCTGACATAAGTCATGCCACACGGGCATACTACTGACATGTGTCATGCCATGTGTAAATCACAAGA